ATCCGCGGCATTCCTCCAAAAGTATTTATTATTGATATATTCTGTTTAAATATAGTAAATCGTCTAATATTAAATCGAATTCAAATATACGAAAACCTTAAGCTAAGCATTCACTCCTCACGCCATGCATGCACGGTAATGGCTGCTGCTGTTACACTCTACATACTCCGTTTTATGTTCGTGGTTGCGCATTAATTTGTATAGTAGTATATAATTCTAGTGAATAAATTTATTTCCTAGAAGTAAATGTTTGTGTTTGAAATTACTTGACTCGTTTTAATCGTTAATATTACATGTTCCATATTAGATATTTAGTATCTGCCAATAAATATATTTGTTCATATGTGTAAATAATGATTTAACTCTAGAAAACAAATATCTTGAAAATGATGAAAGTAATAATAAGTGACATATTGTCATTGTATCAAAATTTTGGAAAATAATATTTGAAATTTAAAAAATCTCAAACTTCTATTAAGAAGTAGCAAGATTTTTACTTTAGTGTATTGTATCCTTTTTCAAACATTTCATTTCAATTTAAAATTCTCAGAGATTTAAAATATAAACAATCCTTCATGCTCATTTAGAATTACAAAGGAATTTTTTCAAGTTTACTTGCGCTAGCTAACGGTTACATACAAAATACTGACAGTTCGACATTGTATTTACTTGCGGGTGTATTTTTGAACATTGGTAGCCAGGCTAACGAGAGCGATGATAAATTTATAAAACAATGATCTCAAAATTTCTGAAAGAATGGGAGCTATACGATTAAATGTGTTTTAAATAATAACGAGCAGACTTCCGTTAGAAAAATGAAACCACAAACACATTTTAGTGTAATAATTGTAGCGGAAAATACATTAAATATATTTGTAAAATGTACGGATCAGAAAACGTTACGACACATAAAAATTTATCGTTCATTATACTACTGAAACGCTGAAATCTGTGGTTCAATATCCAGTAACGATAAATTCTATTTATACACGTGCTCCTCTTTAGATCTGTTGCTTTTGAGTCGGTCGTTAATGACTGCACTAATAGATGAACGCTTTAATGAAATATTATGTCGCGCCTTAGTTATTACCAGTGGCAAATTACCTTGCACTTAGTTTCTGAGTTGAAATTTATTCCAAATATTTCATAAATTTGCTCTAAATAAATATCTGGCAAGGTTCTATTTTATACTTTGTTATTATTTTTTCTGCGCCAAACGATTTGGGTACGCCACTGGGCAATGTTTAGACTTTATGATAGTTTTAAAGGAAAGAACAATAACTCTGACACTTTCCTCGTAAGTGTTCAACTGTTTTATGATGCAATTCAGTGTGCCATGCATTTTTTTTCGGATGATTCGCCTTATCGATTCAACTGTGATGATCCACCTGGTACACCACGACCTCCTGATTTTTTAAATGCGATATTTTATGTTATATTATTTTACATCCTCACTTTACGTGATTATTTACTTCACGTCCACTTTTATTTCACAACCGCGGGCGTGAAATAATAAGTGAAGTATTTGCGGATGTAAAATAACATGGCGTTTTAAAAGTGAGTCCGTTTTACGGTTAGGTCGTACGTAGCTTAGCAAGCATTGCACACTACTAAACATCAAAGGAAATTAATTAATTAGTAACTATTTTTTACAGCTTACATTTACTTAATTTCTCAGTAAATGTAAAAGAACAATAACATTGACACTTTTGAGACATTCCTCGTAACGAGTTCAGCTGTTTTAATATGCAATTCAGTGTGCCATGTATTTTTTTTCGAATGATTCGCCTTGTCAAATTAACTGTGATGATCTACTTGGTAAACTACGACTTGCTGATTTTTTTAAACGCGATATTTTATATTATATTATTTTACATCCTCACTTTACATTCTTATTTACTTCACGACCACTTTTATCTCACAACCGCGAATGTGAAATAATAAGTGAAGTATTTGCGGATGTAAAATAACATGGCGTTTTAAAAGTGAGACCGTTTTACGGTTAGGTCGTACGTAGCTTAGCAAGCATCGCACACTGCTAAAGAAAAAGGGAAAATCATTCCCAAAAAAAAAATTGGAAGAAGTTTATTAGTAACTATTTTTTACAGCTTACATCTACTTAATTTATCAAAATTTCAAGGCACGCCCCTGCCTCGGTAAATTGTTACAGTAGTTCCGATAACAGGACTTTATTGGGTTATTCTTTTCTTGGAATAGCATCTCAGTTTGGGGCAACCCTGACCGGCACAGACATGTTTGTGTTCAACTAGCCGCTGATGGCTTAGGATTCCAAGCATTAGAGACCGACGCGCAACCAGTACGGCCAACATGAGAGCAAATGTGTAGCGCTAGATCCACCCGTGGCGTCCATTCAGTACCATTCCAGTTTTCATTCGTTCAGCCAGCATCCGAAACATTCCTGAAACATTGTCAGTGCGGGTAATAAGCGCGTTTTAGATTTATATTCGTGCCGGGAGGATAAAACCGCAGCTTTTTTGAAGTTATGCCAGCCGTTGTGTACCCGAACGGATTCAATCGCAATTTATTTTTGTACTTTTGTATAAACCAGCATGTTCCTTGGAGGTCAGATTTGTATCGTGAGTGAGAGCAGAGAAGAGGAGTCGAGGGAGAGGGTGGTGAACGGCTGCTCGGAGAAGCACAGCAGCAGAAAGTCGGAAAAGCACGTGCGATTTGAAGTACGTCCAAAGCAGCTTATGTTTCAGACGTTCAATCTGTCACACCAATACTTTTTTTACGCTCTTATGCGTCTAGATTTGCATTTATTTGAAGATTCAACCCAACAAAACAAAATCAAATATACATAGTGTCCCAAATTGTGATAAAACACCTCAAATTTAAGAAAAAATGTTTATATGAACTCAAGTCGTAGAAAGCCTCGTTTTCGATACGCAGGATGTTGAAATTTAGAAAATATCACATTAATTATAAAAAAAATTGTTAATACACAAATTTGTCAATGAGACGATGGGGCATACTGTAACTAACCCCTGAATTTCGATACCACTGATTTTGGAAATTGGATAAGCACATTTAATTTTTGTTTTTGTATCTAAAAAAGAATATTCCATTCTATTTAGAAGACGAACAACTTACAAATATTTTTTTTTAAGTTATAATCCTTCGACATAATCGACTAAATCGAAAGTATATTAAAAAAACATTCGTGTCACAAGAAATTGTAAGAAGTTTTTCTAGAAATTAAAGAATTATTGGCATAACAATTATAAATTTTTAAGGGGTTTATTATCCCTCAGAAAAAATGTTCCTACACCAATGGTCACTTTAAGCTCTTCATTATTTAAAATTTCATTTCCCATATTTTTTCGTGCAATTTTTATTTATTCAAGTATTAAAGGTTTTAATATTTTAAATTTAAAATCCCAATATTTTGGATTATTTTCAAAGAAAGATTTTCGCTGTAACTTGGAGCGAAATGGTCATAAAGAAAATATAATATAAGTAAATAAAGAAAATCAAAATAAAGGAAATTGAAGCTTCAAATAATCGTACCGGAACCGCCCAAATTGAAGATAATTAAATTATCTAAAAGAGCTTTGTGATGAAATTACCAAAAAAAATTTTTGCTTTTTTAAAAAATGCTACTCAACAACTGCTGGCGCTACAAATTTTTAAAATGCAGAATTTCCTTTATTTTCATTCTATCTACGACCATTTACCTGCAAGTTACAGCTCTTTGAAAATCACCCAAAATTTTTTATTTTTTTTATATCTCTTAATTTATGTGCCTAATGTAGTTACTTAAAATGGTTTCAATTTCCAAAATTTCCAGTTTCTTGATGATAGTATCTCCCTGTATTTCCGTCACTGGTTGGCAAATTTGTATATCGACTAAGCGAATTTTTTAAGGATCATAATGAAATTGTTATACATTTTCTGGTTTACCATCGATTTTAAATAATACTCGTTAAAATTATATTATTTTTAAAAAAAGGGTAAATAATATATTGATAATAAGCAAAAATATATTCTTAAAAATTCAAGGTCTGTAGTTAAGACATAAAAAAATAGATGGATGATTTGTCTGTAGACTCGCCTATGAAATTCTGAGGATAAATAATTATCAATTAATAAATTGGACCCGGTAGATATTGCGGGTATAATTCAATACTGATCGGGGTATTAGTCCACAGAGTCACAGGCATTAAAAAATTTATGCATTATATTAATATCTGACAAACTATACTGATTTTGCAAAGTAAAATTGAAATATCTATGCCATCCACAATGTATTTGTTTGCGGGATGGAACAATTTCTTTGCACAAAACATAAAAAAGTTATGCCAAATTGAACTGTCCTTTTCCTATAACCAGTGAAATCTTTTGATGCGCAATTGCCTAAAATGTTGTTTTTAACTATGTATTTTGCTTAATAGGTTAATTTATTATTTAAACTGACAAAATCGGTCTTAATGATCTTCCAATAACGTTTTGGTGTCTCTAAATATACCTTTCACGTAATTCCTTGTTGTATTTTTAGACGAACAACAGCAAATATAAACTTACATTTTAAATCTAAGTAGGTCGAAAAGAATTCTTTCCTTATTTACCTACTTTTTATAAGATTTTGTGATGGAAATTAATAAATTAGCATATTTCGAGATAAGGGATAAGATAAGAATACAAAAATATACTTTGATGTTACTTCTAAAACTACTTATATACGTATATAGATCAAAGTTGAAGGAGTGTCGTCATGTTCTTTCACTTCCTGTAAAACGAGATAATAGCAAGTTTTCTGTTTTCATCATCTATTTCTTAACGTGAGGCACAGAAACATATTCGTAGATCAACAACATCCTTCAACGCTTGCACAAGAAAAGCCAGACAGTCATTAGTTTATATCCACAACATGTTACTTTATTTTTAAAACTGATTTATTTATTTATCTGTACCAACTGTTTCGTATAGAATTTTATTTGCATCGGTGTACAAGACTCTTAAGTCTTATATTTTTTCAGGATGAAAATGCTGCTCCGCCAAAACCTATCAACTTGGAGAAAATCTTCACACCTGCAGATGGAGACCAGATTCAGCCTAAAAACAGTGAGTCCTTAACATTTTAGCATCTAAATATGAATTAACAACAGTTCCGTACTGTGGTTATAAAGTGTAGTTCTTAGATGTGTTCACTTATATTTAGAAAAAAATACCGATAAATATAGAACGTGATCGAATATCTAAAACTGAACATCCTCTCATGTTCCTTGTTATATTTTAATCTGCTACAAGCACAAGACGAATAAAACTACAACGTAATATTTCAGCATTGGCAATGGTATATTTCATAAATATTGGAACCTGGTATCGTGGTGCTCTGAAAAAATGGTAATCGCGGTTTTATGGATTTGTTATGAAGTCCGGACACATTGGGAAAATATTTATGTAGCATTGGTTGGGCGGAGATTATTTTTCTTGAATGTTCCAAGGAAAGAAAATAATTTCTCTGTAATTTATTGTAAACGCGAAAATAGAATTATCGTCGAAAGGATGCGTTGCATGTGGACGTTGCAATCAAGAGATTGTTACAGAATCGGTTTCCTGCAAAATTGACTCACAATATTTATTCGTTTTCAATATTTGAAGGGTTTTAAGACCGTACCAAATCTTCGAGTTTTCCCAAATGATTTATTAACCTCTTCTTTTGAAACGATTCACGATGAAAGACTTCAAATGTTATCATAAATCGTCTACAAATCCCGGAAGCTGTTTCAAATCTCTTCGTCGCAAGTTCATCAACTCCGATATTCCCTGGTACCCAACATAATCGTAATCTGAGCATCTACTACTACTTTCTTCTACCTTATTTTTTTTGACGACATCCGTAAACCATTTTTTCCAGCGCATTGTATGTACGATTTTTTTTTAGGAAAAATGTTCGCATCATCTGCCTTTTACGAGAAGGGATTCCACCCGACGGTGGAAGACCAAGTGGAGCTAGCCAAAAGGATATCCAGTTCCTTGTGTGACATCAGCAACAAGAGCAGCAAAGGTCAGTCCATGTACGTGAACAGAATGAAGAGATCAGCGAAGTGGGTCCACGAGGGAGAAGGTAAGTCTTCCAAATTTAATTCTGTTATATTTCTTATACCTAAACCAAATCTAGACAACAAGTCTTAAAGAAGTCGTAAATATTCTGCAGTGAGGATGCCCGGTATGCAGTTATGATTTATTTTCTGTTGTTTTTATTGTTTCCCGAATTGCACTCTCTTCATATATAGTTAATCGTCAGGTAGTCGTTGTTTTTACTAGCGTTACTGTTATAGTCTTTCTAAAGTCATAAAATTTATGTCGTCCCTAAAAAAGTTTTCTACTAACGGTAAAAAATTATAATAATTTGTAGTATATGTGTAGAAAATTTCTATTATATGTTCATTTGACCAACAATATATTTTAATGATTTATGTCCTTAAACAATTGTATTATATTCATGTTAAGTGCTATTTCTCACCCAGAATGAGGACTAGAACAACAGGTGTTATCCTGCAGGCAGAAGAGTAGATACTAGATATTGTTGACGATAACATACACAAACAGAATTGCCGATCAAACTAACACATCTGAAACAACATTTTTTTTTAATTATAAATTAAATAATAACGTAAAACATCCGTTGACCAAACGTTCTTTAATTTTCTTGCAATTTGAGGAGGACCTTTCAACAGATTGGCTCCTTGATTGGGATGGTTTTATAGTGCACCAAAATAATTTCTGGTGGTTCTATGGATTTTGTCTTCTACAAATGGTACAACCATATACCATGGTGCATTGAATATCATTCTCAGAGTTTCTGATTACATACTTTGGATACAGTAACTTATTTTCTGTAGATTTTGGATCTTCACCTAAACAGCCAACTCAGTCATCGGAATTTGTGGCTGATTGTAGTTTCTTGGCTAATAAATATAGTTTCTATGCGAAACCTAATCATTTTACTTGGGCCCCCGCTGCTAGTTGTTCTTCAATGATCATGACAATTCGTTTTTCTGTGAGTAATGGTCACTCGTGTTGACTTGGTTGGAATAAATTAAAACAATTTTAAGCTAACCTTTCCCAAAAAAAGTAATCAGTAGATTTTTTGCAAAAATTGTTTTCTAAATACGCCTATCACATCTGATACATCAACATCAACATATTCCTTGTCCAATCAGATGGGAAGAAGTAAAATTCTACTAAAGTACAGTTGCGTTCTCTCTCCAACTATATTTTGAAGTTGAATCTGATCTGGTGTGTATAAGTGAAACAGACCCGCAGCTCGTCCGGAAGTAAGAAACAAATGGAGCTGGCAGCTCGCCACTCTCGTCCAGGATTGTGTAACTCGGCCTCCGCAGCACCAAAATATCTTCAGATAACCCGCGCCCGCCCGTACAAACAGACAGACGTACTGCATGCTATCCGCTATCGGCATATTGCGTAGCTCCGAAAATCAATAATGCACGCTATATAAAAACCGCTCTGTTCCTATAAATACAAAACGACCGAGGTAAAGGTTTACTTACCAGATTTTACTCCACTTTCGGATTTAGATTTGTAAATAAGATTATTTGCGTAACGAGGAAGGTTAGTTGAAGTGTGGTATTTTTCATGTTGTATGTCACTGTAACTGTCCACGTTAGAGCATGTTTTCAGTAACGCGTTTTTGCCGGTTGGTGCGTTGTCAATTTAACAAGATTTTATTACTTTCAGAAGTAATAAAATTTTAAAGTCTAAAATCAAAAATATTAACACGTTTATTTATGAATTCAAGTTTCACCACGTTTTATACGTGCCAGCAAAAATAGCATAAAGTTTGAACACAGAGTGGCTGCAAAAAGTATTTTTAGAAAACTACGCAATGAAAATTAGTTAACGTGTTACAATTTTTTAACATTTTCGAGATATATGCTACATTGGTTTATTTTTAAAAACATTAAATTAATTTTTTTGCCAGTTTACGATTTCTATGAGTAATTAATTCAGAAATCATAACAAAGTACGAATCCAAACTCACAATCAGATCCCAAATTTTAATTAAAATAACTCTTATTTAACTAGTTTCGAATTCACCCTGTATAGGAGAAAAATGTTGCTGAAAGTGCTGAGAAAATAGAACGACTTTCTCTTTGATTTTTTTATTATTCAATAATTTTTTCGAGTTGCCAAGTCTGTCATTTAAAGTAAAATAAATAAACCTACAACGTTGAATAACATAAATTTTAATATGAGACCATGTTAATGTAAATATAAAAATGTTCGTTGAAAAAAATGCGAAATTTATAATATTTGTACGGAGACGTAATATATAGGGTGACTGCATCGTCCGCAAACTTATTGAAATCTTCACGTAGTGAATATTGTAGCGATATCCAGTGTAGAATAGAACTTTTTTCACTTAGAACTTACCACAATAATACGAACAAACATTTTTAGAACCGCTCACTGCATCGATAGCTCGGCTGGCTCGATTAACAATGTCTACACAAATTGCTGCACATAAAGATTTGATACCAGCGGCACCATATTTTACAACCATGTCCTTGAATTCACTGTTGTTCACCAAACAGTCGTTTCACAAGAAGAAAACAGTTAAAATTAAAAATCTAGAGAAATAAATTGCTTCACTTAACCATTTGTTGAACTGATTACTATCACTCCACCTCTCCTTTATGAATGATGCGATTTTAGGGGTTCTCAAGAGGTTTTAAAAATATATATTATTAGTTTTAAGCATCATTTTGCAACATCGACAGAATTATATTCTGCTTACCATTAAAGATACTTTCAAAGTTTGCAAATTCCTTGTATTCTTTCATTCATTTCGTGACGAACAAATATAGTTTATAAATGACAAAAGAACAACGTTCCTAGAATATAAATCTAATTGCTTCTTGGTATGCTTTAAATGTATTTTGCGAGCATGTTCGCTATTCCTATGCCAAATTCTTTTAACTGTAAATATAACCCAGCTATGAGGCCAATTTAAAACCTGGAACGGCGTATTACTTTATGCCATTACAAACATGCATTTTATGGATATCTCTTTAATACAATGTTTTTCTCGATGGAAAAGTTTCTCTAAGAAACTGAAATTAATTTCTTGACACCGCGGAAGCTTCAAAACTCTTTAATTTCCTTTCCCAAGATATTTTATATTTGAATTTATATGACGGGCTGTATTTATTTATAAGATTAAAAAAAAATTAAATGATTCTGTCGTCAATAAATTCGTCTTGCCTGTAGGACGAGCAACAGTTAATGGCAGTGAAGTAGGAACAGATGGCAGCGACAAGCCTAAGGACCCCCTGAAACTTGTTATGAACCCATATGGGCAAATTCAAGACATCAATTCTCTGAGGAAGCAAGGATACAAGATCGAAACAGCCCTCTCGCCAGACGTCTGCTTGGAAATCGTGAAGGACCTAAACTCACCAAAAGGCAAAGGTATTCTGTGACAAGGCTTAGACCTATGGAAATATAAGTTTGATTGTCTAATAATTTGTCGAATTATATTTTTATTTAGCAATGAGGAGTTAGTTAATAGTGGAGGTATGAACTACCCCCTCTATTTTTCCAAGACAAACTTACCTCTCAATTATATTTTGAAGTATAAATGGGACACCTTGTATAATATATTAACAACTGTTCCTGTGAATTCAAATCTCGTTTTCCGACTTTCCACAGGCGCTGAATTATTCGCGAAAAGGCGTAAGCGCTCAGAGAAGTGGGTGGTGGCGGAGACAAACGGCACTAGGCAGACTCCAATACCAGACATCGAGCCCACCCCTGTTCCTCTCTTGTCGCCTCTCCCGCCAATAAGTAGTTTTCCACCTCCCAGCTACTTGCCAGAGACAGCGCAGAGGATCCAGCACAAGGAAAAACTAGACGAGATCCAAGTAAGTTATTGCATTTATTAGATGTTCATAATGAAAGTTTATTTTTTTAGCAAAAGTTCGCGCGCCCCCGCGTCAAGCTAGTGAAATCCCCTTGGGACGCTGCCTTGGAGACAGGCTCGGTGGACGCGGCCTTCGTGGAAGAGCCCATCTGGCCCACCAAGGGTAACATCGTGGCCCCCGCCGTCAACTCTTACGAGGCAGCCTTAAGAGACGACTCCCTTGAAACCTGGACGGGAGCTAAGCCCACCGAACCCAAGATGTACGCCCACAACCCCGCTTACAACAGTAGCAGCATCAACAGGATCGTAGACAACCTGCAGAAGGGCGCCACCGGCGTGGATGTGTACAAACCCACCCTGCCCCAAGCTTGGAACTCCAGTCCAGTTCCAAAGCCTCAACAGTACAGTGAGTAACGTTTAAAAATAGCCGTACGTTGTTATTGCTTCAAAACAAGATATCATAATTGTAAAATACTCTCGTTATTAAAAGAACTAACACTGCTGATTATAATAACTAATTTATTAATGCAGGTAGCATCAATCTCGCTTTAACTAATATCCTGCGCACGCCAACCATCGAAACGAGACCAACGTCACCATTCCCAAGTATACCCGATGTTACCACTGATTCCAGTTTACTAAAAGATGCCGGAGCAACAAACGTCATTCGTCCCGTTACTCCAACATTTCTAGAACCAAAACTAGATCCTGTGAAAGAAGCTGAAGAAGAGCTAGCAAGGAAACAACAAGCGAGGGCTACCTCACCATTCCCAATCATACCAGACGTAACACTAGAGTCGGAATTGATCGATGAAGACGTAGCGAAATTTCAAGACAAACAGAAAATTGAGTCCACTTTAAGACCTTCATCGCCATTCCCGTCCATAGTCGATGTTACCCTGACGCCCGAGGTGGTGGAGAAAGATGTTGTTAAGCTAAGAACCACTCCAGAATCCTTTATGATAGAATCTGCTGTAGAAGTAAACAATAATAGTTACAAAGACACTTATAGCGACGAAATAGCTCACACGAAAATAGAAGCAACGAGGGAACAGAAAAGAGAACAAGAGGAGGTTCCATTTCCCTCAATACCAGACATATCGAAATATTTGGACGGTAAAAGAGAAACAAACATGTTCAGACCGATACCCACCAAGCCGTTTGCCCCGGTTTCTTTATCGGAAAAGAAATATATCTTGAAGGATCCTCTAGCTGAATACAATCCACCCCCTATCAAACCAGAATTTAATTTCGCTTTAGCCGATATCCAGCACAAGGTTGTAGAAAACACATTTTCGAACTCAACGTCTTCCAACGTAAGATCCTTGCAGTCGGAAATTTTCGAGAGCCAGGGACACTTCAACGCCAGCAGGTCGTGCTCTCCTTTTCGCGTCTTTGTTCCCAAACCTGAAGAGTCACCACCCAAAGAACAACAAACTAAAGAAGATAAACCACTCACAAAAGTAATCGTCGAAACAGTTGAGATGGAACCCAAAGATCCCAGATGTGAGGAACAAATGAAGAAACTGGCAATTTCAATCGACAAAGATAAAAGTGAGGTTATGTTGTCGCAAAAAGGTTGCTTCAACGAATTGGAGGAGATAAAAACCGCTTATGACGCCGCTGAAAAACAAATAAGCCAGTACTGCAAATTGGCTCACGAGAAACAAACAACTAGCGACAAGGAGTGCACTCTTACCGCGACGAAAGATAAAAGTGATGAGTCGAAGAACACAAAGAATGGCGTTGGAGAAGGTGTTACAGCAGACCCTTCTTCGCAAGGGACCGAAGAAAAGGAAGCTGCTGTGAGCAACACCTCTACTGAAGATCCCAAACAACCTTCTAATAAAGCGTCACCTGAAAAAACAAATCTACCAGATATAAATATGGATGTTGACGAGTATCTTAGTAAGAAAGCGGAAGAAAAACAGAGCAAAGTACAAGTAAAAGAAAAGAAAAAATCCCCACCGAAAGAAGAAATGGATGTGGAGGAGGAGCCACGCAGGTACAGGAAACCTCCCGAAGCCATCATTGGTGCGAGACCTTTGTTCGGCCAACTGGATATAAATTCTGAATTTAAAAAAGCCTTAGTTGGCAAACAGAAATCCATACAAGGAAAGCGATCTAGAGAAGTTAACAGAAACGTGGACAGAAGAGACGGGCCCGAACCGAGGATTAAAATAGAGAAAACTGAGTGCGATTCGCAAGAAGAGTATATTAAAAACGGTAAATTAGCTACGGAAAGTAAGACCACCGAGAGAGCCCAAGTTGAAGTGATTCGTCCGAACGAGAACGAGGAAATTGAGAAAATTTACTATCAGCAAGAAAGGGAATTCAATCTTGACTTTCAACTCATTCAAGCAGAAGAAGCGAACGGAAAGACAAATTTATACATCGAACCCGCGACGCTGACACAGGTAAATAACAGCATACAAAATTTTCAAAAGCAGTGTGTCCAAAATCAAAATTGGTCATTACTGAGGCCTGATCCTAGATTAACCAGTTTTGGCGGACAGGAAAATGGTAACACCACGATTACTGGACAAGTACAATATATGGCTATGGAGGAACAAGAGGAAGAATATAGAAAAATACCCGTGAAATCGCTCATACAAAACTTTGAACAATCGGTTATGCCTTCTTTAAGGTACAAACAAATACGCGAGCCCCTTCCAGATGTCGTCGAAAAATTAAGTTCCACAAATAAACCATGTACCAAGCCGCTAACATGCGAGTCGGTGCAATCTCAACAGTTCCAGTCTGTTGAAGAGCATCACCAAGTGGTATCACAAGAGAGAACCCAAAGCAGCAACGTAAAACAGGAGCAGTTCTTGAAAAGCGCAGAAGAAGAATTCGATAACTTGTTTTACGTTGCTAATTCCAAAGTAGAGAACCAACACTTTTCACCGGATGCTTCTAAAATGCAAGTCATCCAACAGTCAGAAGACAGTTCGTTTTGCGCTTACGCTACCCAATCCTCACAGCTTAAGATCCACTCTGCTTCCGCTTTTCAGCCGGTGCAAAGGAGCAACGGCCAATTCAATAGCGAGCTGCAACTTGAAGGCAAGCTTTTGTTGGTTTCACTTCATGTGCCACGTCAAAGTATTGTTGTAGGAATATTTTCACGTCCATGAAAGTATGTGCAAAACTGAGTTTGTTGCATTGCCCTTCCATGTCTTGTCTTGGAATTTGTATGTCTGTCTACTGTGGTACTTTTATATGTAATCTGAGGTTGTGTTTCAGGCTCTAGCACTCTCCCGAGGTCCAAGCCGAAGGCCCCTCTGTCGCCGATCTACAAACCAGACGTCCCGCCACAAGTCTTCGTACCGAAGGAGAGCGACGCACCATTGCCCAACCTCTATGCACCCGCTTACAACGCTCAGCAAAGCTACTCCCCCCAGCCTTACCAACCGACGCAAAACGACATACCACCACCACTACCATCAAGGAAAATCAACTACGACAACCTGCAGAACTACAACACAGCTCCAAGGGGATGGGGTGGAGTCAAAAGCATCTACAAGCCGATCACCTTCGACAAGCCAAAGTCGCCATATTCTGACTTTTAATTTGTTTCGTACACGTCGTTTTTAATTTGTTTTGGGTTAAGATAAGCGTCTAGATTGTAGAGCTGCTCCGTTTCAACTCGATCCCCGTACTGGGATCGTGATCTGAGACGAGCGGTACCTTCGACTTATCAGGTCATTTTAATTTGTGTTGAATATTTATTTGAATGTATATAAAGGTTACTAATAATAACACTGTAGTGCCATAGCTTTGGTGAGGGCTCTACCAAAGTCTACATCGTATTGAAAATTTTAATGTAAGAAGAAAGGTTTGAGAAATTGCTATTCAGTCTTCACAAGTATTGATTGTATATTTTTTAGAACTACTCACCCTGTTACCACGTTGTTTTTTTTTTTAGTGAATGAGGTTAGAATTCTTCACCCACAATGTATGAAACCGTTTTCGTCCTGTCATAACCTTTTTGAGTCACTATTAATAACATTCAGTGTTTTTATAAAAGCAGTGAATTGATCAGCTTGTACCAAGTTTTATTGCAATTGATGTTACTGTAAAATATGGAAATGTTGAATTATAATAAACCCTACTTTATCGTTATTGGATTTTTGTTTCCTCCCAATCCTTTTGGTGGCTGTTTCCGTGGGTAATAATTCCTCAATTTCCAGAGTTACCTCCGAATGTTTGGTCACCAAATGAAGACAAACTTGTACAGAAACAACATAAGAAATTTATCCCGACTTTATTTCCTACCGAATAAAATTAGGACCAACCATATGGTTTATGTAAGAAGGTTCGTACGTAGCGCTATTGTTGAGGTTCATCTTGAAACGTAGATTTTCGTTGATGACGGATGTTGTGTAGTACGTCTTCTCCGCCATAGATTGAGGATAGAACACGTCTCCTTTGTGTTTCTGGGGCTTGATCAGGTCGTAGTAGGTGACGTATTTTTCAGGTTTGTGTTCAGGGAATTTGTCGAAACAACCAGCGTGACAACCACCTTGCTGAAAACGAAAGGAATCGCAACGTTCATAGTTAATTGAATCTTTCGCGCGTCTTTCCAATCGCGCTTTTTTATTCGAAACAACTCACCCACTTGGTTGGTCCTGTGGGAATTATTATTCCTGGAGGAATGACCTTAACCGGCTTCTCCTGCGGTCTGACGTAGACAGGTCCTGGCTTCATTTTCTCTGGATCCTTGAAGGGATTCGGTCCAAAGAACGGTTTAGGGAAATGAACTGTTCTCAAAGGACCATCCAAGAGCTTCCCATACTCCTTCGTCTTCAGCTTGACTCCGTAGCGATCGTCTCTTGAAAAATAACAAAAATATAAGGCTTGTACAATAAAACACCTTCAGAAATATCCCAATAATCTAATTTTTCTTACTTATGCTCCGGGTACTTGTTCAGGCAAATATTCACGTAACCGGGTCCTCCTTTTCTTCCCGGATTGGTAACAAACTGCCCGGGCTCGTGTTTGTACGGAGGTCTCTTTCTGGCAATGTTGCTGAATGCATCCAGTTTCCCACCGAACGTTCCATAGTGATCGCCAGGCGTCGAATGGACTTTGGTGTGTCCGGGGGGCATAAACGGCACATTTGACACATTTTTAAACTTTGGAGGAGGTCTGTGAATATTTTGGAATGATAATTTTATTCGTGGACCAGAAGTATTAGTACAGTTTTAATTTCTGATGAAGGAACAACAATGGTAGTGGATCGAGGGAGGTTAAGCCCATTGAAATTGATACCAGAGGCACCAATTTGGCTTTGGAGCAAAACGTACCCATGATTTATTAGAACCAGGTAATATTTTAAAAATTGGAGAGGAATTATTCGATTGTAGCCAACTGATAGATTGGGAAATATCATAGGGCCACTTCTTCAGCTACCACTACGAATGTGCTAGTAAGTTTATGATGCAAAACTGTAACGATGAAAACTTTTATTGCTGTGGCATAATTTTACTACCAAGAACTGATTTTGGTCTACATATTTACGTACGCTTTCCGTAGACCTTTGAGAGCTTCTCCGACGAACAGCCTCTTGAACTCCTTGTCGAAGTAACAGTCCTGCCTTCCAGTCTTTGTCTTGGGCCCCTCTCCCAACATACGTTTGCCCTTATCGTGAGTGAGCTCTAGAAATGTCGAAGAAAATCGGTAACGTGGTATCGCCTTAAGCACTATAATTACTTGGGAAGACGTATCCTTTTCCGTTCATGTAGGGCATCTCTAAGAACAGCCCCAGCCGCTCCAAGTCGGGCTTGCCGTACTGATTGCCCCATTCCGGGGCTTTCGCCATTTTCATGGAAAATTTTGAAAAAGTTTAGTCTTAATTAATTGTAAAACAATTTTGAAGTACTACAGCAGTTTTAGGATTAACTAGGCAACATGGACGGTGACGCACGTTCACTTGACAGGTGCAATGACAGATGGAAACTATTTAATGGCAATTAGTATGCCATTGATAATTAAAAACGAGATTTTAGGAAAAGCTAAATATTAGGAACAAGTTAACTTAAAATTATTGACAATAAAACTCGTACGTAGGTGACCTATGGTCTTGATTTTTTTTAACGATTACTTGTTGCCAGCACTGCAAAGTTAAACCCCACTTTTTTCTCGTAAACGGATGCTTCTAGCTATGTCAACTAAGAATACCTTTTATTAGACCGAATTTTGTTCAAATATCTACTACAAATCCCCACAAGAGGAACTCTGTAAAAATGCCGATTTTGCTCATGTCATTGATGGTGAAATAGATATGGCGCCCAACGTGGGTGGGGCCGAAATATCCGAAAGGCCAGGAGAATGTGATCAAAGACGTCGATAAAAAATGTTTTCATTGTTCCTCCAATTTTTCATAACTTACCTACCTGTTTGTTTGTGAAACCCTCGTTATAAAAAACAACAATCTAATAACATTTTAATAATCCAAACAAAAAATATCACAATTGTCTTATAAGGAAGATCAGAGTTAATAAAAAAATAACAATTTGTAAAATACTGTATCTTATAATACATAATGTACAAAATAAATATCGCATCGTCTACACCACCTCGATGTAGATATACATCACTCAGGATACACGAAATATCTCCCTCGAGGGTCGCCCACCAGTCTTCATTATTCTTTGCCGAAAGCATGAACTATAGAGTTGATGCTTTCGTACCCTCCAGTCACCATGCCCAGGAAACCTAGCAGTAAGATGAAGCAATCCTTGAAGATGGTGACTGGGGTGAGGGTCCCAAATGTGTAGCGGGTGACCAGTTCCAGAATTGGAGGGAAGATCAACGCGAGAGCTGTGCTGCTTACGGACCCCACAAGTGAGATGAACAGCCCCAGGAAGGGGATGGCCTCAGCCAGAACAACTGGAATGAAAATATTATTAACGTCTACAGTTTTCTTCACTGTGCTCAAACTTGTCCGTGATTGCCATGGATAATACGCCTTACCAATGGCAACTCGCGACCTTTTTACTGACTTTTTGTGTACTCACATGTGATTAAAACTAGAAAGGCCCTAAAGGCCGATTCGGCAAGAACTGGGTATTTCACGGGACTCAGAAATTTCTGTACGTTCGGCCAAATGATGTCGACTGCTATGTAAAACTGGAGAGCATACGTGAAAAGTATTCCCAGCGATATGATGATCTTCACAGATTGGGCCAATCTGAAATTAACATCAATAAAACGATTGGTTTTAAAAGATCAAACTTGTGCTCTTACTTTTCAGTTTTGGGCAAGTTGAGAGTGATGCTACCCTCGATGTCTTCGCCATATTTCAAATAACCGAGCATACCGACAACGATGTACAGTGTGGTAACGATGGTCATGCCAATATTCAATACCCCCAGGGGTTTCTTGAACTTTTTAGGTTCCTTCATTTCATTTTGGAGGGGCAGCACCTAAAATGGACATTTAAATTCATTTATCCAGCATGTTGACGATCTAAACATTTAAATGGAATGTAATGGACTGTTTTTCTTTCCAAATATGTATTACCAACTTACCAAACCGATGCCTTCAAAGGCGAAGATGGCAGTTCCAAAAAACAGAGGTATCTGTTCCAGCTTGGCCACGTAATTCCTTTCTGAAAATGACGGTAATTCCTGGGACGCATAATACATGACAATTACGATGCCAACTATCATCAAAACATTGGCAAGAGTGGAGAAGGGTGCTAGGTACTTGAGGTTCCTAACTAGAGCCGTCAAAAGGATTGGCAACAGGATGATTGCCATGTGCAGATGGACGTCTAGTTCATACCCATAGTGGTCACATACCTAAAAACCATTCGTAAGTCTTTGTAATGTATTTTGCTGTAAAACCACGTTTCTCACCTGCTTAACGTTCTCGGAAATAAAAACGAAATACACGCAACAGAATCCGAGCTGCGTTATGCATAAAAACAAATTTACGGTTTTCTTCGCCAGCTTCGACAGCCGCTGCAGCTTGGGCGGGCCTTTTTCGAAACATAATTCCACTGTTTCTGCAAAATCGGGTGCAGACTTAAGTTGGTGTTTCTCGTCCAAAGCTTTTGCCGCAGACAACTGAAAAAAAAACCGATTAGAGATCATTAAAATAGATTTATTTTAACTGTGTGTATGGTTTGTTTTTGCCTTATTTTTTTAAATAACACGAGTTACTGCGAACGATCGATTGAGTTGACTCTATTTTGAGTATGTGAAACCAATAATTAAGAGTTGACTTTTTCCCTAATATGATTTAACTATTATTGAGTCACTTTTTACTCAGACTTGGTTTTTAATTAACTAAATATTGAGTACAAAAATAGATCACTCATAAATGATTAATTAGGATATACATCTTAGCGGCCTCCTCCTGTCCTGGCTGAGACCTTCCAACTGAGACTCGCCGCGATCACGCTTTTCTGGAGCATCTAACGGGCTCCTATCCTATCCTGGTCGAAATTACAGAAGCAATATGTAAGTGGTGCCATCTTCATGGCGCCATTCAAATTACTCGAAATTAATATACATTTAAACTCACTCGGTAATGAGTACATTTACTCTGATTTTGGTACAAGCGCACCAAATACGAGTTTACGTAAAGAGTACCTATATTTGAATGAAAATACTCAGTTTTAGTTTAAATATAATCACAAATTAGTAAAATGATCAAAATGCCCAATATTGAGTGAAAATGTACTGAATAATTTCACTCATTGGATTAACTTCGAATCTTTAGGTATTGCTTTCACTCACACCGATTTTTTTACAATTTATGTTTTAAAAATAATAATATTTGCCGTTTTAAGAAAAGGTATATAATAAAAAAAATAAATAAAAACAGTTACTAATCTGTTTGAATCTCAGTCAATGATCTCTGATATTTACCTAGTTAAGCTGAACTAGACTACTGTCATTACGTAAAATAGATAGGGACGCATAAAGTTACAGCAAGTAATATTAAAAACAAAATCAAATTCTATTATATTTTCTTATTGTCACTTCAGCAGATAATCAGTGCTAAAGATACTAAATTAATCCATAATAATTAAAAACAGCAACATAATTAAACCGTGAACAGTTTAAATTTAAGCAGAATCCGACCCTGTTTCGAAAGATTACAAAAGGCAATAGGGGTTAAGAGAGTTGACATGGTTAGAGTTTTATCAGGAGAAAACGATGGTGTTGCATATAGATTACCCCGTACCGAATAAGAAAATGTTTGTAAGAATGGGTTCAATATTTAAGAGATTATGGGAGCTTTGAATACGCTAATGTTGAACGGGAACAAACTCAGAGGCTGAGAAACCTAGAACCAGAAGTTTTAAACGCCGGGGAAGAGGATCCTGGTACCAGGACTCGAAGATAAGCCACAATATTTAAAGTATGTCATATGCTGTAAAAATCAGGTGAGTAATTAGATTATTTATTTATTTTTATGTATTTCATTTCTCACTATTTATTTATTACTGTTTAAATTGTGTTTTTGTGGGGGTGATAGGGCTACAAAATTCTCCAGGAAACTAAATTTGTACCTTTACACAACACAAACATTCACTATGTACTTATTCGAACAATTACGGCGAGAAACATTAGCATAACATTTACAATTTACACATTCATGAATATTTAGATAAATTATCTACATACGTACATGCGATTTGCATGGTAATACGCTGCCGTAAAACTAATCCATTTGTTCATAATATAAATTCTGCTCAGTTCTAAGAGTCTTTTCTAATACCGCAGATCTGGTTATATCCAGTTCTGCCGATCTGAGTATCGCCGTGGGCAAAATTAAGACGAAGGAACTTGAGCAACCAAATTGCGCAAAATGGAATAGTTAACATATGCATAGAAGAAAATCTTCCATCGTTAATGTCGCAAATGACTGGGAATACCATGTCAAAGAACTGATGAAGTAAAAAAAATGATGTATTACCGTTGTTAACAAAAATATTTTTCGACTGTATAAAAAAGTAGAATTTAGTTATGAACAACAATTAAGTCCCGAATAGTTAAATTTTATTCAAACTGCGAGCAATATTTTCTGTAAGAAACTAAAATTAATGAAAATAACATTTATGTATAATTTTTAAGTAGAAAATTGTAATAAAAAAAATATATTCTTGTTAACTATTTCATATTCATGTTTTATATTTTTAATGATTCTGTTCTAGCATAGTGTTAATGAAAAGAGTTATTTCCAAGCACTTTGTACGTTTATTAATAAATTGCCAAACTTTTTCCGTTATCTTAAGTCATTTTTAATAACGTACTGCTGCTAACTTAAGCAGACATAATATTTCACAATAAGCACAATTACCTTTCTGTTGACATTAAGTTTGTTTATGTAGCATTAAGTCCGTGAATTTTAAAATTGCTTATAACAGGAAGCAGTTTTGCACTCATCTTTAAATTTCTAGGCATTACATCACTTTTATGATTCGTGTAATTCTAGACACAGTCCTAAACAAAAGTAAATTCACAACTTTAGTAATTTTCATACCGCGCCACGGGACAACGTAGTGTAACCTTCCCGTTTCCCCGATTTAACGTGGCAGTTTGTTTTTACCCGTTTACCATCTCGTCATATCATACCAGGTGCAAAGTCAGCTGGCAGTAGCAGCTTTTCAATAGTAACACTACTTTATTTGAACCAACCAGAGGGGGCTAATCTCAGTTACCTTTCGTATCCGTTCGGGACAAGATCGGATTCTGCTTAAATTCAAACTGTTCACGGTTTAATTTTCTTACTGTTTTATTTTGGATTAATTTAATATGTTCAGCACCGATTGGCTAATTATAAGTTGGATGTTTATTTGATTAAAAGACTTTCAGATTCGTCTTCAGGGGAACATATATAAAAAAAACTGACCGCCACTTTAATATGAAGATACTTTTGTAAATGCATTGTTATTAAATTTCTTAAATTCAAGATTTTACAATAAAATCTTTTCTGTGCTTGGGATATAATAGTTTTAAATGAACACCCGATGTTTGTTGTAGTTCTTATTGCTTTAACTTTATGATAATTACTAGAGCATAGCCATTGAGATTTCAATCGTGAGTTATGTCTACTGACCTTGTAAGGTAAGATTTTCTTGTAATATAAAAAAAATGTAATAGCTATTTAATGCGCAATTTGTAATACAAGGTTCGCGTAGAAAGTATGGGTTCTCGTAAATAAAGAATAGGTATTATTTTCATTGACGCGCGAGAAGTCGAGTTTTTTATACGTTTCTATTATTTTTGTATTATTTCTCTCAATTAAACAAGATATGACAAAACCCATGTATTTCTAAACAAAACTGAACGAACCCACGACTTTAAAACAACACTCGCAAAATCTACAACAAATATGTGATTTATACCGATCAAAAGCGTTTAAATTTAATTTTAATTTAAAGTATGTGCTCTTTCCAATACTGCAGCTTTTTTGCTTTGTATCCTCTCGATACACTCTTCAAATAAGCAGTAATCTTGCTATATTTTCCAACAATTTAATTTAGTGTTTATAAGAAATGGAAAACAATACATATTCAAATGCTGATATGCACAATGTGGGGTCATATTGAACACTTATGACTTTTTTAAGTTATTTTTTTTTATCTTAGAAAATTGTGTATTACTATGTTGATTTTTTAGAATTATTCTTGTAAACTGTAAATGTTCTGCTTAGAATCCCATTGCAACGTCTGTGAATAAATAATAATAAATAACTGGTAACAGTTTAGTTGCTTGTTTTGAAGTTTTGCTAAAAATTCCACAGCAGCTATCCTCGCAAGAAATTACATGATTTTAGGTGGTTACTGGTTACACAAAAAATAGTAGATAACTTAAAAACTAGAAGAAATAGGTATAGGGAACCCTGATACCGTTCGAAAGAGAATAAAATTGTGTATCAGAATTAATAAAACATACAGGGTGTTCCATTTAAAAAACCGACTTATGAAGTTTTGAAGTTAACTAAACTCGGCATTAAATTTCTAGCACCTTGTATGCAATTAAGCCACTATGAAAGTATGGATGGAAGGCTTAGGAGTCTAGCTATCCCCTTATAAATATTGTTGCTTTCTCTTTCTTACTATTTACCATTTTTGTAGACTTTTATAGTAGTCTTCAACATCGAATACTTCGACCACATAGATGAAATTACATATTATTTCTTTAAATTTAAAAAATACGATAGCATCACTTCTTCATTTGTTGTCATTACTCTCCGTTTTTCTCTCCATTCGTTAAATTCGGCGAACACTTTTTTGTAATGTTCTCTGGATTTGGCTGGCAATAAATGGAAAATTGCTTCTTGAGCTTCTTCAAAAATAGCCACAGGAACACAATAATTACTTTCTTGCATTTTTACCAAATTCAGATACAACTGTTTATTAAATAATTGATAATAAACAACGTAATATAGCAACCAGTAGATATAACAAAACCTACCACGTTTCATTGAGAACCAGTAAGTTATATCAAGGTGTTCGGATATTTTTTTATTAAATTCCAATAATTCTGACTCCACAAATATGATTATACAATAAATAACTATTATTTGTTTATATAATTATCCATATATTGACTGATGAACTTGAAAAACCTATTCGAGGAAGTTATTCCAATGCGACTAGGTCTGTGCATTGATAAACCATCGATACACTATTATTTTTCAATTCAGTAGTTCCACGTAATCGATGTGTCCCTGATTTTAACCTCCACGCATTGTCACAACACAGGCGGAAGCGATCAGTAACAATTCCAGTCGCACCTTTGCCTGAAACATTTTTACGCCGCCGGATAACAAAGCGGTTCGAATGAAAAATTGCATTCCTGGAAGTTCCACGGGTTGTAAGAAAATTGGCACAATTACCTAATTACGACCGCCACCTTACAAATTCGACAATTTACACATACACGAGCCTTGACTCGAATTCTCAGCTTGTATGTAAATGCTTAGAATGAACTACTTCCACAAATTATAACAACCTTTGGGAACACCTACGGTGTCACATTTTTTTCTCGTTGATTACGCCACGACGGACAACGGGATGTTGGCAATTTTCGTGGTGCAAGATTGTGAAATGTACAATAAGCGGAAGACCTGGGTGGATGCGTCTTCTGGGGTTGACATTTTCTAGCGGACTTGTTTGTGTGCACAGCGTCAAACAAACTTTGCAGACTCGCATAAGAACCTACTGCGTTTTAATAGAAGCTTTAGATTTTCAGTAATAACGGAAAATTCTGGCTTGTTCTTGTTATGAATAGAGTTTGACACTTCGGTGCGTACGAGATGGGGGAATGAGGAGGGTCTGTCGTCGTTTAATCTATTAATTAATTTGAATTTTATTAAATCTATAATTTTCAAATGCTCATGGTATCAGAGAATATATCAAAAGGCATCTGGAAATCTGAAAGTAATTTTTGCTGAAGCTGTAAAGAGATAAAAGTCCAGACTTTGGTTGCACAACTACCTAATATTTTGCGGTATTTACGTAACAGAAATGCTGTGACTGATCTACTCCAACATTTTATGTATTTAAATGTTATACAGGGTGGCCAAATGAAAACGAAACAGAGAAATTTTCAAGAACTGCGTCAAGATTGTAGAAAAACGCTCAGTCCCGTCGATTTTAGATTAAAGGGGGACATTCTTTGCTGGTATTTTTGCAAGGGTAAGCATCACCCCAAAATATTTAAATGGCATTGGGTGTTGAGTAATATTTCTTTTGAAAGCTCTTACAATTCTCTTTACAACAGACTTTAAATTTTATAATTCCGCCCAATACTTTGAAAAAAATTTACATTTTAAAATTTAAATTATGTTTAGTTGCTTACTAACCACTTAGTTGATTAAATGTTCAAATTGATGACCGCCCGCTTCCATACAAGAATAAAGATTTTGTTCGAAACGTTCGCGCACATTCCGAAGCATTTCCGGAGTGATTCGACGGCATTCGTCGGCGATTGTTTGACGCAAATCTTCCAGCGACGCTGGCTGTGTTTTATAGATTTTACTCTTTAGGTATTTCCACAAAAAGAAATCAAGGGGTGATAAATCCGATGATAGTGGAGGCCACTCAATGCTGCCTCTTCTCCCAATCCAATTCCGTAGAAAACGTTGGTTCAAATACTGACGGACAATTAACGCATACTGCTGAGGTGCACCGTCCTGTTGAAAAATCAAATGATCTTCATCATATTCTGGAACATTTTCAATAATATCAGTCAAGGCAGGGTCAATAGCGTCTTCCAGTAATTGCAAATACATTTGGCCAGTCAAATTACCTGGTAGAAAAAAAGAACCCACCAGCCGGTCACCGAAAATTCCAGCCCATACATTGAATTTTTCCGCTTGCTGTGTATGCACCTCGTGAAAAACTCTTGGGTTTGAATCGGACCAATAGCGGCAATTGTGACGATTTACCGTCCCGTTCAAGAAAAAACTGCATTCAGCAGAAAAGCAGATGTTAAAAAGGAACTGTGGATCGTTCCCTGCTCGCTCACTCATCATTTCGCAAAATTGCAAACGGCGGTCATAATCATCCTCATTATGTTCCTGGACTAAATGTATTTTGTATGGATGGAATTTATTCTTCTTCAAAATGGTTTGTATGCTAGTTCGATTGATCCCAGACACAGATGCCAGCTGCCTCGTACTTAATGTAAGATCAAGATGAACTTGTCCCAAAACTGCAACTTCACTAGCTTCGTTAAATATAGGTTTTTCAATTTCTCGTTTTTTATTGGCTACGTTCCCTGTCTCTTGAAATTTTTTTACTAACTCTAGAACATACTTCCTCCTGACATGTCGATCTTGATGTTGTTCATTAAATAGCTGAGCTGTTCTATTCGCACACTTTTTGTTCATAAAGTAAAGCGAAATGATATCTACCCTTTTCGCAATGGAATATCCATAGTGTTTAATTTTCAAAAACCCAATTAAATAAACTACTAACCAACGCTTCCAAATAATACTAGAAAATACGAGTAATTTGGAATCCACTAATTTTACGTTCATTGCGTGTGTATAGCATTCATTTCTGTTTTTTACAATTGTGTTTTTTTTACGAAAATGATAACAAATCGCCAAAAACTAATGTAACACAAGAAATACTAAATTTATACCATTGGCGTACTTAACTCGAATGACTGACATTTTTACCGTTACTTTTGTACTTTGTACCGTTTGTACATAAGTCTCAACTTTAAAATCAAAATTCTTGGGCGAAATTATAAAATTTAAAGTCTGTTATAAAGAGAATTGTAAGAGCTTTCAAAAGAAATATAACTCAACTCCCAATGCCATTTAAATATTTTGGGGTGAGGCTTACCCTTGCTTGGGGGTGAAAGTGGTGGAGTCAAAAATACCAGCAAAGAATTAATCTAAAATCGACGGGTCTGAGCGTTTTTCTACAATCTTGACGCAGTTCCTGAAAAGGGCTCTGTTTCGTTTTCATTTGGCCACCCTGTATATCCAGATATGGAGCATATCTATTCAAAATACGTCGCACTGATAAAGAGGTAGATATATGTTAAAGCCTACCTTTCACTTGCAGCAAAATGAGTTGCCGGTAGGTGTATTTTAATATATTTTTAGTTAAATTATCTTTAAATTTCGTAGTGACGCCACTGACTTCGCACACAACTGTCGAACTCTAGTTATGTATAAAGATGCTAGAGGAAACACAAAACTATTCTATATAAATGTGACATGGTACTAAAAATAGTTCCATTCGAGCAGTGGCGCACGTAAAACCACGCACAAATATGTTTAAAATAAGAAAATATATTTTATTTATATTAAATTTCTATTTAGGTACTCCACTTAATAAATTAATATAACATAGTACAATAGAAGTTAATTCGTCATTCTCTGGTGGCTTTAAAAATGTCAGGGCCACAAACAGACTGTAGCGATTAGTTTGGCTTCAAGGTGCCAGTAAAAAAAATGTAAACACGAAATGTATAGGTGATTCATAAATATGTCTGATTCACGGTGAAATAATTTAATTTAAAAATTTGAACGACAGAAATTTGTGAAGGAAAAAGCTATATTAAATATCGGATTGGTAGTTTCCTGTCCACATTTTTATCGATTTCAAATATACTATCGGATTATTACTACTTACCAGTAAATGCTGACAATGGACGCATATTATTCCTAAAAGTAAAACTACAATTGGTCCCAAAATGATCCCAGCGTTCCTAATGGCGTCTCCCATAGCAAATATTCCGGAACCAACGTTTCCTTTGAATAGATGCATCAGAGTCTCCAAATATCTGAAATTTCGAAAAAACTGTTTAAAAATTTGTTTCATCTGTACACTAGCTGCTTTAGTACGGGGCCTTCATAAATGAGTACAAGCCACGTGACTGTAAAGCTTGGACAACCAACATTGCACAATTATTAGCGATGATTCCTTTGCAATGAAACCGTTGCATTTACTTTGCAAATTGTTTTAATAATGCTTAATTTTACAAAAATTGAATTACCAACGTAAAGGAAATAGAATTACTATCCCAAACAAAATTACTGGTCACATGGCAATGCAATAATTTATTTCTGTCCATGGCTTCATGTCGTCAGTATTGAAAAAGCCAACTTGATTTTAATTATTTTAATTTATACTTTGTAATTGGAGATATGTAACTGTTTAGGGTTTCATAATAACATATGTTAAAAAAATACTGGTTAACATTTTGTTTTTTTTTGTATAACCCAATATACAGGGTGGTTCGCAAATAATGCTCCATGCTTCAAGGGTAACTTCCTTAGGTAAATAAACCGACTTAGATCACATTACCTTACCATATGTTTTATTGTTCCAAAAGTTATGGACATGCGCTAGAGAGGTTGTAAAAACACACTACATAATTTTGCTGTACCAAGAAACATTTTGTATCTCCCTTTGTATGTCTCAACTCTCAAAACTCAAAATATCTCGGAACAATTAAAAGAAAAACAAACATATTCACGTAAGTTATTCGTTTCTGCAACTAGCAAAGCAACTACTATTATTTCAACTAATTAAACACTGCAAATATTTACTTAATAATCTTTTAATTAGATGTTTAGTGGAAATTGTTTTATGGTGTTAAATTATGTGCCATAAATAAATTTTTTGCTTTTCATCGACTATTAATGAAAATAATTCAACATACGCGGAAGTGATCGTCAGATTGAGAAGTTTACGTACTTGTACAATTAAAATGGACACTTAAGAGTTTTATTGTTAATTTTACTGCATGTGTACACAAATGTACCTTTGACTTCTGTTTTAGTCGCCTGTGTTAAAAAAAAAATACGTTTTCAAATCTATAACAACTAACATTAAGCAGAAAAAAATGCTACATTGAAAAATATATGTGTATAAAATGAAACAGCGCGGTCTATTTTAGAAATCTTCTGAAAGTTTCCATAAAAAAGTATTAAAATAACTGAAGTACGACATTGTTAAAACGTGTAGGTCCAATTAATTACAGAGTGATAACGTTTACCTTATAATAAATGCTGCTCTACTGAAATAAAAAAAAATTGAGGTACCTAATGAAAAAAATTAGTTACCTCCGCCTACTTACGACGTGGGGTGTTCAACTGGAATACCATGACTGTGCCCCCCACCTCCCCCTGTCGGTTGCTTGTCCTGGGGAACTTTCTCCAAAGGAATGGAGATTATAGGATCCCTGGACTGAAATGTCATGAAACTGCCATCACTACTGAAAAAAAGAACACAACTTTCAAAAAATAAGCTGACGAAAAATTTATATATATATTTTTTAATTTTCTGTATTGCGACACTAGGTACTTATGGCACCTTGCAACAACACATTAACCTTCGATTAACGATAATTTTCATTCTAAATGCATAAACAAATGACGACCTACCTTTTTTCGGACAGGCAACTTGACTTTGAACCGTACCATGGCTGCTTAATATTATCTGCATTGTGGTTGTTCTGGTTGTGTTGTAAGTCCATTCTAAAAACAAAAATAACTTAAATAAAACACAAAAAAATAACAAGTTTGTTTAGGTATTTATTTAATTTCGTGGGTTTTTTCCGTATATTTGGTCTTACCCCAGTGGTCTATATACAAAATAATTAGGTGTAGTATATATAACCTTCTCTTTCCTGTGTTTAAAGTCACGACAACTATTTTGCAAAGCTACGTAATAGTGCTAGATCCCTTGTAATGATATGCAGTGTGTTGTTACCTAATACCAACATGATAAATTACACCATTGTTTCAGAGATATCGATAATCTGCAAGCGTAATTAATTACTATTATAGTAATTACCTTTTAAATCGAAATAAACTAGCAGAAAATGTATGCATTTAGATATCCGAGAGGCCGGGAAAAATATATTATGATAGTCCAGCCCAAAACAAACGTTTTTCGACAAAACAATTTTTAATTTCTTTGTTTGTATGAGCATGATTAGCGTTTCACACTTATGTGCTAGATATTTAATGTACTTACATAGTCTACCTCAAAGATATTTAATATACACCACAGATTTTTAATTTGTATTGCAAACACTGAATTTTTCTACATAAGCAAACATTCAAAGCTGCCAATAAGTAGGTACCGCTTGTATCACTCAAATCAAAATTAAAACGCATCAATTTCGTTACTGATAATTATTTATAATTGTGTTAGTTTCATAATAATAAAAACAGTTGTTATATAACGTGCTTTCTTCCTATCAAATATCAGCTTACGTTTATAACCAGTTCAGAAAGTGATTCAGTTTTTTTTTCTAGGTGTGCAAGTCGACACTATCTTACTATTCAAATGAACTTAAAAAAAAGTTGAAAGTTAGTTGTCATCTTTTATGATTGTAACGAACATTTCTACTTTTCCCAGAACTCTATTTTGAGGACGACCGACATTTTTACTTCTTAGCCACAGTCTATGAATGTCCTGAGCGAACTATAATAGATACTGGATCTAGGCCTCGCAAAAATTTCTAACAATTTTTGAATTGCCAAAGTTCAGTTTATTGATAACATTGTTTAATGCATAAAAAACTTTATAGAACTTATGAATCGTCTGACCTCTGGCCAGGTTAGTGAACTGCAAGATACCAGAGTCGAAGTTCGATCACACCCCATGGCAGCTCCGCTGTGTTCTGTAAGGATGTTCGCCTTAGGGTCACGCGTTTGGTTTCTCTGAAATTTTTGAAACCAAGTAAAAAATTTAGATTTCTGTTCCGCGTTTCCTACTTTATGGCGCTGTTTCCCTAGCCCCTATCAAAGATGATATATGTATAATTTTAACCAATCCGTGTCAACCAATTACTGCATCTTCATAAAAAGTTTGTCGACTTTCCATATATTTACAAATTACTTCACATAAAAAGTTTCCACAGACCTCAAATTTTGAACTACACAAAAGACCACCTTGTATAAAATTCCCCCGATTTTAATAAACGATAAAAAAACAATAACAAACCGTAAAAGTATAATTTGACGTAATACTAAATTAACTCTAAGAAACAGGTTATGAATATGTTACGTAGCAATTAAAACATTCCAAATTCCGACCCATCGTTAGATAGCATGACATTGAATTAAATAATGCCAAATATGTAGGTAGATTCGTGGATTTCGTGATAGGGAATGTCGTTGACTTACTTAATGTTACTGTGTACTATTGTGGTTAATTATAAAATTACCGGATTTAACAAGATAATGGCATGCATACAGATGGGTAACTTGAGGCATCAGTAAATATTGGCAGCACTGGCGGGGTCAGAATTAATCGGAGGTCAACATAAAATATATGTGTGAAAAGAACATCATCTTTAGTGTTCCTAGAACAATAATAATAAAATAATTAATTACGTTTCATTTTAATAAACAAATTTACCAATATTAGTAGTTTTAATATGCCAATATTAGCAGTTTTAAGATTGTTAGTACCTTTATTCGTGATAGAAAAACTGAATATGTATTTAATATTAGGAAATAAATTTATTTCCTAATATTAAATATTAAAACACTTAATGCGCAACCGCGAACGATTATCGGGGCATGTAGAGTAGAACAGCATCAACCATTACTGTGTAACCACAGCGTGAAGTGTGACAGTTGCATTGTTATGGATGAAATGGACTAACAAAGAACAATTTTTAAATTCAAACGCACTTATTATGGAGTTGACTGTGACCAAAATCTAGACCGCACGCCTATATGGATTATCGGGGCATGTAGAGTAGAACAGCATCAACCATTACTGTGTAGCCACAGCGTGAAGTGTGACAGTTGCATTAGTCATGGATGAAATGGACTAACAAAGACAATTTTTAAATTCAAACGCACTTATTATGGAGTTGACTGTGACCAAAATCGAGACCGCACGCCTATGGGTGCCTCGCACTCGAAGAAAGTTCAGATGTAACGAGGTAATGGCTGGGGTTGAGGGGCGTCTTCCTTTTTAGCGCGGCTAGACTCGTTTATATGTTAATTTTCCAAAATTGGCAAGAAGAAATCGCCTGCGGACCGCAAAATCGTAATTATCGGTCCCCTGAGGTGGTAAACAGGTGCGCACCTGGATCATACGATTTATACGTACAGTGTGGCCCGTTGAATTTTGTTTATAAGTAGAAGACACGACGGACGATATATCTAATAAACTACCAAGATCATTCGTAATCGAAACCGCCAGACGTAAACCAGTTTCAAACTTATTAGTCCTCATCAGTGGGTATGCTGACGAATGATGGGAAGAATGTGAATAATTTTTAAATAGCAATAACTTAAAAGTTAAAGCGGACAAAAAAACTGTATACAATGGTGCTAGTGTAATTGAATAATCGGAGAAAATGTCAGGTTTTTTTAAAAAATCTGTAAAATCGCTACCCTTTCCGTCGTCAATTTCTATATTTTGCTCCGCAAATATATAAAAATGTACAATTACAACGTCGAATAAATATTTTAAAATATGTGTTTATCCTTTCACTGTTTATACATTAACACAATAAACTTCATGGTGAATGATCCCATACATGTTAATTGAAGGATATTTAACGGTATATCGTGATACAGGATCTCTTCGACTGAAATTCAGTTCCTGTCTTGCAAAATATTAACAATATGAGTGCAAAGAATGTAATATTAGTTGCTTGCAAAATAAATATGATTAAATACAAACTTGTATTGAATAAGCCTCTTATAAAGTCTAAAAAATGATATATGTGTATACGGTTTCAATAAATTAAAACAATACTAGTGCTGATCAGAAAATAACCGAACATTTTGAATTGCTCGCTAATGGAGATATTACACCTTCTTCAAGACGTAATGACGTCCGCTCTAAACAAATTAAAATCACAAGCCAAAGAATTTCTGAATTGAGAAACGAAGAAAAATTTAAAAATATTACTGGACTACCAAGTAAACGGGGCAAAAATTGCGACGAATTAGAAATATTTTCGAAATATATTTCCCCTTAATTCCCCTTTCGTAATTTAGAAGTTCAAAAAACGATAGAAATATTATACAAGGAATTGTTGTTTTGCCCAGTTTTAATAATTCCTGCAACGAGTGTCTCGGTAGAAAGAAACTTTTTGTGTCTTAAGCATATTAAGACTTAGAAATACGATGACACAAGAGCTAAAGGCGATAGAAAAAGAACCGGTTGCAATGTCTTAGTGTCCATCCTCAATTTTATGAAGACATTAGGTATAAACAAATTTGCAAATTTAAAAGACAGACGAATAAAACTGTTTTATAAAAACATTCACTATGTTTTTAAAATATTTTGTTAAAAGTGGAGGCAAACAAAAAACTGGCGGCGTTGTTTTAAATGTAAATAGATAAGTTGGCTGGCTACCTTAAGAAAATTTGTTTTATATTTTTTCATATTTTTTAATATTCATAAACCAAGTAGGAACAATTTTGTTAATTATTAGGTAAATATATCACTTTATTTTTTTTCTGTTACTTAATTTTATTGTAAATACAATTTTTAAAGTTCTGATATTATTATTAATAATATAATTTTTTAATTTACGATTATAGTAGGGCTATTGGCGAAGATCTCCATAATAGAAAATGACGTGGAAATGTATTCCTATTTATTATTTAAGAGCGGATTAATAAAATATCCAAATAGTTGCGTATTATTGCAAGCGAGTAATATGTCCTTACCGCGAAAATAAATATTTCATGAACAATCTACACCAGCATTTCCATTTTTCAGTGTTAATGGTAACTGCATTAATTCAACAACCTTGATTACAAAGTAGTTCAAAGACAAGCGCAAAATATAGCATGTAAGTATTACTTTATATTACAGTGTCGTTTTTAGTTAGAAAAAATATATTTTTGTGGGAAAAGTAGACCTTGACATGCCTATTTTTAAATCTAGATACACCTGCATTTACAAATAAAATAAGGCACAGTATTGAGTATTCTGTATATTTTCCCAAAATTTCCTTAGCTAGAAAATTCTTTACCTACGAAGTATTTGGTAAAAAGGATTGCCTGGTGATTTCACTTTCTGTTTTATTTTTGTTGACTATTTCTATTACGCGCAATTAGTATAATTTTCTAAATATATACCATTCTCGTAAAGGTACCTGTGAAAGTCACAATATATTTGTCAAACACCTGTAAACTTCAATTGCTTATAGTAAGGTTTAATAAGTAGAATAGTTTTGTTGAAATCTTACGTATACCTAGTAATCTTTGTAATATCAATGAAAATGAATAACAATAAAATAATAAACAAACGTACCACATCACGTGGTATGTTTATTCACGGATAATAGATGATAGATGACAGTTAACAGATGACAGATAACAGATGACATATGACATATGACAGATGATAGATGATAGATGATAGATGATAGATGATAGATGATAGATGATAGGTGATAGGTGATAGGTGATAGGTGATAGGTGATAGGTGATAGACGATAGACGATAGACGATAGACGATAGACGATAGACGATAGACGATAGACGAA